CTTCTTTTTGCTTACTGTAGTAGTAAGTGCTACGTGGCATCTGAAGGTCTCACCTGCACTTAGGAACCTTTTGAATGCACTATTCACATTTGTGACTGCAGACAGTCTCTGTGGAGTCCTAGTTCAATTTGTTGCCCTCTCTGGGCAGCAGGGAGGGAGCCAGAAAGTTGAAAGGTGCTTTGTGATAATCTCTGCTTTCATATAAACAATACTTTGTTAAGACATTAATGTGTTTGAGAGAAATTGAAGATGAATTTACATTACAACTATAGACTTCTAAGCAAATTTCTTTTGAAGTGACTTGGCTGGCTAGACTCCAGCAGCATCCTTTTGCAAGAAGTCTGGGTTGAAATGCAAAGTAGGACTAGTGTTGCACAACCTAAAAAGCCAGCAAATAACATAATAGGAGCTGAAGATGTGCATCAGCCAGAGTTACTTGCTGTGTGCCCAGGTCCCAAGAGTGATTCTGTCTCCATGCAGCTGCTTCTTCCTCTGGGCAGATAATGAAAGCCAGCGACTTGCTGGCAGTACACAGCCATTGGAACTTCACACACAAAAGGTCTGAGTTGTTATCAAAAACAGAGCTGATCTCATTGTTAGCCTTTTGTGTGTAAAGCACACATCCTATTTTATGTGCCTGCTTTAAGGGGAGCACAGTCACTCTCAGCCACACAACCAAAGCACTCAATAAAAGCTTCACTTTTGCCCTGAATACCAGAGTGCAGAAAGCAGCTGTGTAAGGAAGGCAGAGTGAAAGAACGTGGATGGTGTTTGCATGAATCCTGCAACCCACAAGCCTCAGAAAGAAACCTGAATGGGAGTGCTGGGCGGGCTGGGACAGCCCAGGACTGTCTGGTTGTGGCTGTGGCCTGGAGTTACCCTCCTGACTAATCACCACTTTGCTTGCACAGGACTTGTTTGTGAAATGTCTCTGCACACAAAGCAGAGGTCTCTCACCTACATTTCTCCCTCCAAAGAACAATACCCCTTGCACTAAAGGTTGTGTAACTGAACATTGGAGCACAAATAAAAGTGCTCTCAAACTGTAAGAAATTCAGGAAGGGTTTTTTTTTCTTTCCAGTACTCTATTTTCCCATGAAAAGGCTCTCTCTCTTTACAGGTATGTTTCTCTGATACCTCCAAACATTCTTCTTTCTCTCTCACTGATCACCATGTCCCAAAATTTTCACCATTTGTACTAACAGACATGATGGTGAGGCTGGGGACTGACTTGCAGCCTACCTTTAATTTCAATTGCCTTTTAAACCAAGAGCAGCTAAAGCAATAGAAAACCCTTGATAAAAGGCAGCTCTACTCTATTTAAGAGAGGATTATTGTGCTTCAATTTAAACTGCTTCCTTAATCAAATTGACATAAGCTTGCTTGATATCTATTTAAGTTTCCATATTATATTTTCTCTTGTTTAATTAAATCCATTTTGAATTATGCTTTGAGGCAAACCTGCACAACTCTGTATGTACACAAGCTCTCAGATGGTGTTACCAACAACCCATTTGGAAATGGTACAGCTCATTAGCTTTGCTGGCTCCCTGACAGTTCAGGACAGTTTGAATTTCCTGCCAACTCAATGGTATTATTTAGTTTGTATTTAAAAGCTCGTGTTTCCTTTTGACCCAGGATGGTCAGCAAGCACAAGCACTGAAGGGCCTGGTCTTTCATCAGCGTCTGCAAATGCAGAAGAGCCCTGAGACTCTGGATGAGTACAGTGCATTGCCTTTTGCTTCCTTTTACTGCTGTTTTATGAAACAGAAGGAAGAGACAATGTGAGCTTTTGTACAAAAGTGAGGTGACCTTTCCAAGTTACATGTGGGATCTGCTGCTGTTTCTATAGAGACCAAACGCATTAACCTGAGTCAAGTGGGAATGCCTGAGGCTCATTGAAAGGGATATCGTTTCTCAGAGAAAGCTGGAAGATTTAAGTAAAAGGCTTGATTCATGTGTTTTACTTTTTAAACAAAGGGAAAGTGCATTTAAGCTTCCTCAATTGGATGTCTGGGCAAAACAATTTGTGTCTGATTTCAGCTTCCAATTTCCAACTTGCAACAGTCTTACCAAAAAGCTGTCCTACTTTAAGGTCCCAAATGCTTCTTTGGCTGAATAAGACTGTACAAGAACTAGGTTTAGACTGGTGAAATATGCTTCTTGTTCAGTCACAGAGACTGCAAAAATACTCTGAGATGCTGCTTAGTTTGTCCATCCTACATCCACAAACCCATAAATTGAAATAAAATCTCCCCTCAAGGCAGGTCCTAACTAATTTTTTTCAGACCTAAACCCATTTTGTTTCAATACTGAGAACCAGTGTACAGAATAAAATATTTTGCAAAATGTATAAGAAAGATTAAAAAAAAATTCTGAAGAGATCAGTTGCACACCTTTTCTGGGAGCTAACAAGAAAAGACAATGATGATAAATTTCTATACTAACTAATAAAATATTTTCACTGATTTTAGGTGCTAGGCCTATTTAATTTGCAGGTGGGTGGACATGAATCATGTCACAAGTACTGTTTGTTGTCATCTGTCTAGATATATTCTGTCTGATCACTGGAGAAAATTCAGCTTCTGCCTATGTACCCAGGCAGCTCAGTTTTTTTGGTGGAGGAACAAAAAGTAAAGTGAGGATTCTCTCCAAATTCTCATTTCTACCTACTCCAACAGGTATATTTGGTAAAACAAGACTTATTCTGTGGAAAACCATCCCCAAGCCCTCACCCTTCCTGTGGTTTCCCCACAGTGTGTTTGAGAATCTGAATACAAGAGGGTTTTCGGTGATTTATTTCTCTTTGCATCTCTTAGGCATGCACTCCTATGGCCACCCCTGGCTTTGGGTAGTGGAGGACACCTGCTTGGCTATAGAAGTTAAGAAAAATAAAACAACTGTTAATATCAGCTCATTAAAATTAAAAACAAAACTCTACATAGCTACAAAATGGCAGAGTTAAAAGTTTGATTTAAAGGCTAAGCTGACAAATATTGCATAGGAGAGAACCATGTAACTTACAAATAGGAAAATTTCTAATTATCACCCATGGAAAAGAAATGCTATGAGTAGTTTGAACTGTGTTGAACCTTTCACTACTTAAGAAAATAATTATTCTAAAAGGCAGTCAGTGCACAAACAGCTCTTCATCTTTTACCTAGCTTGGTTGGCTTTTAGATCAAAAAAGTTGGATCAAAGTTTGTTTTTACAAAGTTCCCTTTAGATGCAAGAGTACCAAAAGTGCATCATAAAAGGGCCCTCTGAGAAATACATCTCTTAATTGATGTTAGGTATGCAGAGTTAAGCAGAATAAAGAGCAATGCTGGGTATCAGCAACAAAATAATTGGTTTTGTCATCTCAAATAAAAAATTAAGTATTTCTAACAGACTTTCATTGACCGTTCTGCTCCCTAATCACGTAACACACACAAAATGCTGCTGTAAGGGTCTGAACACTATTGATCTTAATAGTTCTGGGGCACTGCTCACTGCTGGTGTTTGTGTTACCAGAACGCTTAGTGGTCAATTTTAGGGTGTCCTTTGAACAGTCACCTAATTGTACAACCCAAGGGTGAAGGTCATGTCCCACATAGAATTCACTGGAAGTGTCTTCCTGTTTTCTGACTCGCTGCTGCTGGGAAACAGGGATCAGCACTACCTGTACCTGCTGCTCTAGTTGTGAGGAGAGCACTGACAAGAACCAGAAAAGCTTTCTAAACTGGAGTTGTTCTGGCCCGGTGCTCCATGGGTACGTGTTATTTGTTTGATAAGGGTTAAGCCTTTTATTAAAGATGTTCATGTGAGTGCTTTGTGTACCTGCACAATAGGATACCTCCAGATAAATAAAAGAGCATTAGTTTTGAACACAATCCTGGTTTATCCAGTGCAATAGCACATGCATATGAATAGACTGGAAATATTGACACAGAGTAAAGGAAAAGGTTAAGTCAATGTTTGCACAAGTGCTGCAATCCAGAAGTCATTTTGAGTGCAGCAAATTCTGAGACTCCCGAGCAGGAAGTAAACAAACAGGTCAAAGCAATTAACAGATAAGTTAGGCGAGCTCAGTGCATGCACAAACAGGCTCAGCAAAGCACACTGTTCCAGTCTGCAGCCCAGCCTGAGCACTCTGACAATGTCTTACTGCCTGTCGTTCTGCACTTGTGTGTTTTTCTCCTTGCAGCGGGCATTAAGTTCATGCTTACTTATGGAAGTGTGACAGCCTGCAAGGGCACTGAGGCCCTCCTTGGGAGCAAGGAATAAAAGGAGGTACATTGGTGGGGTTGTGTTTTATCAAAATAGGGAGCTGCTCCTGTTCATATTGGCAATGAATATATTGACTTCTGTAGGAGCAGGACTGGGAGCTGAAGGAGTCATCAATCTTGTTACACAGTATTGAGCAGAAGTGAAATAGGTGCTCAATCTGGTCTGTATATTTTTCATTTGCAATAGCTGTGTATCGGGGACAACACACGTTCATAGGAATTGATATGATGGCCAGAATCTGCAACTAAGGACAAGTTGTGCAGCCCAGGAAGGTGGGATCAAGGAGGCAGGACAGTAACAGGTCTTTGAGTTTCCTGGCTAGCAGCAAGGAGAGGTAGTAGCCTGGCCAACCCAACCCCCTGCCTGTCTTCCTGCTGCAAATTACAGCATCAGCATTGCCTCACGGGCAGCAGTGAAGCAGTTAACGTGACTTTTGAGGGAGAAATATGAGCTCCTTGCCAGCCCAGGTAAGTAAGCCAATATTACAAAGCAAACTCCATAAAGAACTTCGTGTTCTCCGGCAGAGGACCTTCATTAAAGCAGCAAGCGAAGCAGTACACTTATTTCCCAGGGGTCAGCCACTTACACCTTAAACTTTCAAAAATGAAATTTATTCCCTGTTCTTCAAAAGACATTTTACGTAGTAGTGCCCTTTTGGGATTAAAAAATCAAAATCGCTGACATTTTCCTGAAATTTCTGTGATGAGAAGGGATCACATTGTTAGAGCTGAAGGACACTAGAGTGCCTCACAGTGCAAGAGCTCTCTTTCTGAATAGCTGAGCTATTGTTGCCTGAGATGGGGTACCTGCTGGAAGAAATCAACACTTCAGTAAACTCTTGAGGTAAGTCGGTTTCCAGAGAGAAACAGAACTAAAGCCTCCGACTGGAGCTTCTCAAAATTCTGCATTCAGCTGACAGTAGTTTTCAGGTGAGGCTTATTCTGTCCGAAGGCTCTGTCATGTTTATGTGAATTTGCAGCCACAAATGTGAGAATTTTCACTAGCACGTGGCAACTGGAAGAAGGCTTCAGTGAATGAATATAGTTTAGTACTTGGGGCAAAAATAAAGAGAAAAGGTTATCTTGGGGCTTTTCATCCTTGACGTGAAAAGATGAAAAGGGAACATCATAACTTCAAAGTACATGAAAGACTGCTGCAAAAGAAGCAGCTTCTTTTCTTTATTTAGTTGTCAGATGGGACAAGACATAATGTGTTTAAATGGAAAGAAGAATCAGGTCAGACACTAGTAAAAGGAACTTTCTAGCAGCAACACAGTAAAGCACTGGAGAAACTTTTCTTTGATAGCTCTTAGGATCATCTTTGCTGGGGGTATTGAAGTCCTAGATGAAGCTAGTGACCTAAATATATGTAAATATAGCTGACATTATCTTGTGATGACACAAGATCAGCCTTTTTCTTGAAGTCCCTTCAACACTGTTTCTTCTGCACAGGGTCAGGAAAACTCTACGATGCACCAGAACAATTCTAAGATTTCAGAGGCACTTCAGAGAAGATGGAGGAAGGATAATGTTTATGCTGGCAGAGCAATTTGCCCAGCAGCAGGCTTTACTTGCACCCCAGAGATGGCACTCAAAACCTTGCAGTGTGCTTTTTGTCTCCTCATACATGGTTTCTGTCATGGTGAATAATATTGGAGAGGTTTTACACAGTTTGTCAACTACTTTCTTAGCTGCAGAACATGACAGCATGAGTCATAACTTGTCTGAAGGTAGAAATTATTTAAATTGAAAATAAATATCCAAGTGGAACCAATAGAAGACAAAGGGATATTGCAGACCAAAACAAATATTCCAAATTAATAATAAGGTCTGCCCACATAAATTACTGTTCTAGAAAGCAACTTTTCTCATGCTACATAATTGAGATGCTCAGGTAAATCTTAGAAATATGCCTCAGAACACTGAAAGTAATTCACATCATGTACAAATGTGCTGTTTTCCCTGGCTTCAGCTGCATTTGAGATTTCATGAACAGCTTGTATTACCTCATTCATCAATCTCTTGTCTTGTTCTGTTCCCACATTATTCTACTTGAAATATAAAAAATGCTCCTGTTTTATTTAACCATTTGTATGTTTAACAGACCACCAGGAGAGTAAATGAAGTGAAAGATATGAAGGGCCTATTAGGTATGTGGGATCTGTGAAATTGCTCACCTGGAGGTAAAACAAAATACTTGCTATGAAAAGCTTTTCTTTTTGTAGTTCTTCAAGAAATATTCAGATTTAAGGTGCTAAATGTGTTAGACATTTCATAAAGATCTCTCTCTGTGCTCAGTACTGAATTGACAGGCTAAGATGAAAAGGAGAATTAATTAGAATTAGTCTTAGTAGGAAAAAAAGAAACTTCTGGATCAAATTCTTGAAAGAGAAAGGAAGAAGTTGTTTCATTACCTAAAACAAAAGAAGTAAGAGCAAATATTTTTTTGATCTTTAAATCAAGTGATCCAAAGCAATTTGCACCTGACCAACAGAGGAGCACCTAACTAACTTGAGTCAGGCTAGATAAAAGAAAGCAATGTAAATTAGCCAGAATATCCTCCCATTCTGACATGATTAGATTGCATTCAGTATTTAAGAGAAACTATTTCAATTTACCTCAAACCTTTTCACATAGCACCAGCAGAGGTTTCTTAGTTCTGCTCATTCACTAAAGAAAGATGTATTGTGTTTGAAACAGGAAAGGTTGAATAAAACAGAATTCTAAGTAGATCTGAAAAGTCTTTTTTTCATTTTTTTCATTCCCCAGAAAAATGTTATGCACTTAAAGACTTCTTGATTTCATATTTTCTATAGCTTTTTTTTCCTAGGTGGTTTTTACTCTCCATTATACATATCTAAGTCAAACATCATTTTGAAACAAAAAAAGATGTCTTGAAAGAATTAATTTTAATGAGACAAGGGTCTTGCTAAACCAATTTGACTTTCTTGGAAATTTGTGCATACAAATTAGATCTAAATGTTTGCTAGTTAATATTTAAGTTAATATAACTTTGCTCTGTGCCCATCCGCATTTTCAGTGTATCTAACTAAGAAAGCCCTTTAGTTATCCATGTGCATCTGCTTACCTCAACCATAGTGCAATCCTAACATCCAAATGGAATTTGACCACCACATGGCCCTGCTAACAGACTTCTGACCAACAAGCATGAGAAAATTACACATCCTTGCCTTGCTCTTTTCCCACTGCAGTGTGTTCAGGGAATGTCATGAGTAATTTTAGACTGCAAGACGTGCATCCACTTAAAAGATTTCCTAAGCAGACAAAACGTAATCTCCCTCTGCACTACCAAGGATGTCTTTCATGTCCTACACTATCTAAAAAATACCCAGTTTATTTATTCTCTCTGAGAGGGAAAAGAGATAAAGAATCCAAGACCTTGGAAAGTCTTATGATTACTGATAGAGAAGTTGGATAATAAGGCCCATGTGACACAAGATGACAGTATATCTTCTGCTGAAAGAAGAAGAAACAACTATAGGATTCAGGACAGGTGAAGATTGTTGTCTTAAAACAACATCTTCTGAACAGTAGCCACTGAAAAGTCTATAACCAAACACTTGAATTATCCTTTCTGGGGTAAAATTATTTATATATTACAGAATGCTATCCCAAACAGTGCTTTCCAACATGAAGAGTTCAAAAGCAGAATAGTTTGCTTAATTAATTAGAAAATAGGTATTTTCCCGAGGAGTCACTGTACTTTCACCACCCCTCATAAAACCATTTTCCCTTTCTCGTTTTTAAACGAAAATTTTATTAAATCCAGACCCTTTTTATGTCTCATGATACATGTTTGGACTGAGTGCCATTTGATGTGCTCCAAAGAGGTGAGATGCTCCTCTGAATCTGTCTATTGGACAAAAATGCAGGTTGCCATGTGTATAGAGGAAAACAGTTTCAGAATGTAGGCTGAGATTTTCGATAGTAATTAAAGGTCAAGAGCTCAATATCAAGCACTTCTGGTCAGTTCACAATTACCCTGGGGACATTTACAATACCTTGAAAAACAGTAGAGGGAACTGTAAGAAAAATCAACACATCTCAAGGAGAATAAAGTCTTTAGTGTTTTTAAAACACCTCTAGCTGCTCTTAGGAAGTGTGCAAGGCTAAAGGGAGTGCACCAAGTTTGGCTAACAGAATACCCAAGAATTCCTTGCAGGTAATTAATGCTTACTGGAATGATCTGCCCCTTCATTCTCATGTTAGCTAGGTTTCAAATGACTGTAAGAAAGGAGCCAAGGGAACACGGCTGAAAGGAATCAACGAGCAATACTTGTCACTGAGTGAGGCAGACAGTGCCATGCGAGGGCACAGGCTGCATTAAAATATTTGCCAGGTTTTTAGACAGGCAATTATCGCCTCAGTCTTTTGTAGGCCTCTGATGTATAATGTCATATTCACACACAAACACGTTCTCTCTCACTTCTGCATTTGCCATTTTAACCACATTTCCCTAATTGAGCTCTTTTGATGGAGATTAGCAGGCTGCTTTCACGTGGCAGCTGAGGCAGTTCACCTGGAGGAGAGGAGGGTCAGGGGGGTCAGAAAAGCAGCCAGACAAGTTAATCATCTGCTGAATATGAAAATGACAGTGCAGGGAAACAGTCTATTCTGTGCAAATAAAGACCTTTTGTGAGAGTAATCGATTGAGCTCCATACAGCTTGTCCACCACAGGAAGTGAACAGTAAAGGATTGGGTGCAGAGGCAAAGACACCCGCTGCACTGCTGACAGCAGTCAGAACTGGTAATTATGTCTTACTAGAAATAAGTAGCCCAGAGAGAGAGAAATTTGTTACATATGGTTACTCCTGGAGATGAACACTCAATGTTTTGGGTTTTTTTTTCACAAGCTCTGCAGGAAGCTTTCAGGATTCTGTTTTTAGCAAGTGAGGAACTCCTTTTTCCCACCCCCCAGCACTAATTATTGCCACCACAACATAAACAGCAAAAGATTAGCTCAGCAAAAGCATCACCGAATTCACAACAAGAATTTTATGAAGTTCATGGTGCTTGAAGGTGCCCCTGCCCATGACAGCAGGGTTGGGATGATGATCTTTAAGGCCCCTTCCAACACAAACCCTTCTATGATTCTATGGCTTAAACAAAGAGGGAAGAGACAGCATTGCCAAATTGGAGCTCAGACTTCACTGTCTGCTGGCCAAGGTGTAATAGGGTGCAGCTTAACACAGACCCACTGGATCTTTTCTTAGTAATTCAGTGTTATCTTAGCCATTGCAAGGTAGATTAAACATGTTGAAGCAGGTAATGGGAGAAGAAAACACAGTTACACTGTTGTAAGCTGATTCCATCTCTGCTGTGTTGCTTCGTCTTCAAAGAATCTTCCAGAAGAAGGCAGAACACCTTTAAAAAGGGTGCATTTTATATGGAAGACTGAAAGTCTTCCCATGAAAGATAAAATTCTATGTGTTTGATCCTTGTATTCATGTTATTGCTCTGAAAAGCACACAAGACAGAAATGTTTAGGCATTAGACTGCCAGTCTCTGAGGTAGGGCTGTATTTCCTTTGTATATCTGTAGCACCTGGCGTAATGAACACCTTCGCAAGTGAAATAATTAGTAACTCCTTAGATACTTCTAATATCTTCTGAGATACCCCACATTATGGGAGCTAACACCAAATAAAGCATTTTTTAATATATCAGCCATCAGTGTCAGGAAGAATTATTTGTTTCTCCACCATCAACTCTGAGTGGATACATAAACAGAAAATCCAGTTATGTGTAACCACTGCTGATATACCAAAGACCACTCATCACTGTTACTGTGCTGCTCAAATATGTGGCTGAAGGAGGTCGTTG